CAATCCTAATCAGGATGCTTGTGTGGTTCAGTTGGTTAAGTGACCAACTCAATCCCAGCTCAGGTCTTATCTGAGGGTAATGAGTTCAAACCCCTTTGGGCTCCATGCAAAAATGCAATCCCTATCAAAATACCAACAGCATCTTTCACAGAGCTAGAACAAACAATCCTAGAATTTGTATGGAACTACTGAAGACCCCACACAGCCAAAGCAATCTTGAAGAAGAAAAGCAAACCTGGAGGCATCACAATTCCAGACCTCAAGTTATATTTCAAAGCTACAGTAATCAAAATAGTATGATACTGGCACAAAAATAGACATGTTAATCAATGGAACAGAATAGAAAACCCAGAAATGAACCCACAATTATATGTTCAATTAATCTCTGACAAAGCAGGAAAGGATAGCCAATGGGAAAAAGACAATCTCTTCAACAAATGGTGCTGGGAAAACTGGACAGCTACAGGCAAAAGAATAAAGTGGACCACTTTTTTTTTTTTTTTTTTTGGACCACTTTCTTACACCATACACACACACACAAAAAAAACTCAAATGGATTAAAGACCTAAATGTGAGACCTGAAACTATAAAAATCCTAGAAGGGAGCACAGGCAGTAACTTCTCTGACATCAGCGGCAGCAACATTTTTCTAGGTATGTTTCTTGAGACAAGGGACATGAAAGCAAAGATAAACTATTGGGACGTCATCAAAATAAAAGCTCTGCACAATGAAGGAAACAATCAGAAAAGCTAAGAAGTATCCTATGGAATGGGAGAAGGTATTTTCAAATGACATATGATAAAGGGTTAGTATCCAAAATATATAAAGAATTAATATAAGTCAATACCAAAAAAACCCCCAAAGAATCCAATTAAAAATGGGCAGAGAACATGGACATTTCTGCAGAGAAGACATCCAGATGGCCAACAGACACATGAAAAGATGTTCAACATCATTCATCATCAGGGAAATGCAAATCCAAACGACAATGAGCTATCACCTCACACCTCTTAGAATGAATTAAAAAACAACAAAAACAGAAACAAGAAACAAGTACTGGGGAGGATGTGGAGAAAAAGGAACCCTCGTGCACTGTTGGTGGGAATGCAAACTGGTGCAGCCACTGTGGAAAACAGGATGGAGGTGTCTCCAAAGGTTAAAAATAGAACTGCCTTATGACCTAGCAATTGCACTACTGGGTATTTACCCCCAAAATACAAAAACATTAATTCAAAGGGATACACGCACACCATGTTTATAGCAGCATTATTTACAAGAGCCAAGTTATGGAAGCAGCCCATCGACTGATGAATGGATAAAGAAGAAGTGGTATATACATACAATGGAATATTACTTAGCCATAAAAAATGAAATCTTGCCATTTGTAACAACATGGATGGAGTTAGATGGTCTAATGGTAAGTGAAATAGAGAAAGACAAAAACCTTATGATCTCACTCATCTGTGGAATTTAAGAAACAAAAACAGATGAGCAAAGGGGGAAAAAGAGATAGCGAAGCAAACCAAGAAAAAGATTCATCACTATAGAGGACAAACTGATGGTTACAAGAAGGGAGCTGGGTGGGTGAATGGGTGAAATAGGTGGAGAGGATTAAGAACACACTTATGGGGGCGCCTGGGTGGCTCAGTTGGTTAAGCAACTGCCTTCGGCTCAGGTCATGATCCTGGAGTCCCAGGATCGAGTCCCGCATCGGGCTCCCTGCTCAGCAAGGAGCCTGCTTCTCCCTCTGACCCAACCCCCTCTCATGTGCTCTCTCTCTCATTCTCTCTCAAAATAAATAAATAAATCTTTAAAAAAAAAAAAAAGAACACACTTATGAGGGGCACTGAGTAATGTATAGAATTGTTGAATCACTGTATTGTACACCTGAAATTGATGTAACACTGCATGTTAACTACACTGGAATTAAATTTAAAAACTTAAAGACTCCATAAATTTCACAGGAACCTGAAGAAAAATAAATATATGCATAAAAAGTAATAGAAGATAAAAATGAACATATAAGAGAGGATCAATAAACCCAAACGTTCATTCTTTAAAATAATGAAACTGAAAAATATGAGATGAGATTAGTTGAAAAATGTAAGGAAAGTCAGGTTAAAGAACATTACGGATAATGAGGGAACACAAGTACAAATAAGAGAAATAAACAGTAAAGTATTAAGAACAACCTCATGCCACAGTGTTTATACATTTAGATGAAATGTAAAAACCCTAGAAAAATAAAACACCTGAAGAAGAAATTGAAAAACTGTAGTCCCATAACCATGACTGAAGTTTTTAAGAAGTCCCTATAAAGAGAACACCAGGCCTAGAAAGCTTTACAAATTCTACCAAACATTCAAGCAATCAAAGTTTTGATCTTACATAGACTTCCAGAGAATAAAAAAGGAAGGAACACTTTCTCCCTGATGTCATGAAGCTAGCGTAACTTTGATACCAAAACCAAACAAGGAGAGAAGAAAGGAAAATTACAGTACAAGCTCACCCATAAATAAAAATACAAAAATCCCAGGCAGCAATAAATGCAACAAATATTAAAAAGAAAATATACTATTGCAAAGTTAAGTTTTGTCCCAGGAATTCAACTTGATTGAATATTAGCAAGTAGATTAGTACAATCGCTGTATCAACAGGTTAAAAAAGAACTATTTCAATAGACGCAGATAAGAGTTCAATAGATATGAAGTTAATTTATAATAAAAACTACTAGCAAACTGAAACAGAGGGAAACTGCCTTAAGTTGATAAAGGATATTCACAAAAACCTAGGGCAAACATTCTATTTGATGAAATTTTGAAAGCATTCTCTTGTAAGATCACAAGGTAAGTATGCTTACTATGGCCACTTCTTTTGTACTGAAAATATCAGCCAGCGTGGTACAGCAGAAAAAAAAGTTACAAAGATGGGAAAAGGAAAAGCAAAATGGTCACAATTTGCACATGATGCACTGTAGAGTCTACAGTAAATTAAAAAAAAATCTCTGGATGTATTAGAATGAATAAGGGAGCTTAGAAATGTTGCTAGATACAAAAATCAAAATTAGAAAGTCACTTGCATTCTATACAGCAACAATCAGAAAATAAAAATGGTACCAAAAGTTACCATTCGTGGTAGCAAATAAAAAGTCTCTGCAACGAAATCGAATAAAACCTCTAAGACCTTGATGGGAAAAACTTATACAACTTTGAAGTCATTGAAGCAGGCTTAAATAAAATATATAGCATATTTATGGATGAGAAGACTCAGTATTTCAAAGTTGTTAACACTCTTCCAATGGATCTCTAGATTCAACAGACTTCTAAAAATTCCAAAAGGTTTTTCTTGGAACATGGCAACTTGCTCCTCTCACTTTATCTGAAAGAGCCAAGGCAAAAGAATTGGCAAGATATGTCTAAAGAAAAAGGACAGGCTGAGAGACCAGCCCTACTAGAATGTCAAGATGTATTATAAAGCCACTGTAATTTTAAAAAATCAGTATTGCTCATGGACAGGTCATAGGTCAAAAGAACAGAACAGAAAGCCCACAAATGGACTCAAATACATATGAAATTTTATGACAGAGAGGGCATCACAGGCCAGCGAAAAAAGGGGAGACTATCAGTAAGTGTCCTGATTTGGGGACTATCTACATCTACAGAAAGAAATATAATCAGATTCTCTCTCAGAATATACAAAAAATTAACTCCAGGTAAATGAAAGACAAAGTTTAAAAAAATAAAACCATAAAAACTTTTGAAGCTAAGTAGGAGAATGACCTCATGCCTTCAAGGTAGGGAAGGATTTCTTAAATAAAATATCAAAAGTACAAATTACAATGGAAAAGATAGATATATTCAACTACATTAAAATTAAGTTCTGTTTATTAAGATACATCATTAAGATACATCATAAGTAAAAAGACATGCCACAGACTGCCAAAAAGATAGAATAAACTAAGCAAAGATTAGAAGCCCTAATATACAAGGAACACTCAGACAACTAAGTAAAAAGGCCAAACAAACCAACAGAAAAGGCTAAAAACTAAACAAGATTTTCACTTAATATCAAATACAGATGATCAATAAAATATGAAGAACATTCAACCTCATTAATCAACGGGAAATGCAAATTAAAACTTTAATGAGATACCATTACCCACCAAACAGGCTATTTTTAAGTTGGACAATACCAAGTCTCGGAGAATGCAGAAGGAAAACTACCATATAAACCTGAGGAGAGGATCAATTGGGAAGACCATTCTCAAAGCCCGGGCTTGCTGATGTTAAATATGCATACACCCTATGACCCACCCCCCCCAATTCCATGTCTAGTGGTGATTACAAGAGAGATTCCCCTCTGGTGCACAAACGTATGCACAAAAATGCTCACAGCAACACTACGTGTAAAGCAAAACCACTCCACACTACTTACATATCCATCCCCACTGGAATGGAGTGCTTCATTTGGTCTATCCATATAATGGAGGACCACATAGTTAAGGAAAATGAGCTGCAGCCAACACATCAATGTGACTATCTCAGACAGAAATGTAAGCAAAATTTGAATACATGCTACTCAATTCTATTTATCTAAAGCTTAAAACCATGTGCTATTTTGTATATGGACACATCCATCCATACTATTCAACTATAAAGAAAAGCAACAAAATGATTAACAGGAGCCCCACAGGAGGGCTTACCCTGGTGAGAGAGAAGGCAAAGAGCTTTTAAGACACCAGTAAGGCCTGTATTTGAGCCAAGTGGTAGCTACACAGGTGTATGTGATCTTGTTTTTCATAAATATGCATTTTTAGATGGCATCAGTCACAAGTTCAAAGCATCTCCTTAAACCACTCTCATCTGCAGTTTTACTTTCCAAAATTTACAAATGCAGAAGACTCCTAATTACATTGCAGGCTACATTTTCTAAGGGGATAAAAAGGGTCAAGCTTCTAAACGCCATTTAGAGAACACATATGTAAGTTAATTGTTCTTACCAGCGTCGTGCGAGGTAATTAAAATTGAACTCAAACTGGCTCAACACATCTCCTCCTAAGATAGGAGAAAAATATTTACATTTGGTCGGTTAGCAACAAGACATGGCATGTTTCTTTGCACACAGATTTGCACAATCCAGGTCATTAGCTCATCACCTTGTCCACACTTTTCTGTTCATTGTTTTAGGTTCAAGCAGATCTTTAAGAAAACGTGATCATTTCTATCTTAGCCAGCGAAACATATGAATTAAGAAAGAAACACCCATATAACCAAAAGTTTTTCTCTTTAAGGAAGGATGAGCCATAAAGATTCTTTTAAAACGCCACTCACCATCTACTTTGGCTACTTCAAGGTAATTTACTACAGGAAAAAGATGGAGGGTACCATTTTAAAGCTAAAGTATTAGGTGACCTTAGGTAATGAATTTTAAGCTGATAAAGGTAAAGCTTTTCTAAATTATGACACAAGTCAATGATGAAATGTGATTTTTTAATAAAGAAATACACATAGACAACTTTTCAGAAATACATCTCTATGTCAAATGAGATATACCCATACTATAAATGAGATACTAAAATAAACCCATACTGCCAAATAAGAAAGCTAGTTAGTATACGGACTGGCCAAGATGTGCTAAAAATACATATTTTACTTTAAATATTTTACATATTTTACTGTGCATCGGCACTCCTGTTACCTAGATACCTGCCTGGTTACTAGCCATTTCACAAAGGGACTGAATACCTGTTTCACAGAATATGAAAATGACATTTTTACTCAGGAGAACCACATAGCCAGTCCTAATTCATCATGAAATGATCTCAGTTAAGGAGAAAGGAGGTTATTCAACATGGGGGGTGGGGAATACAGATTTAAGGTACAGTAGTGACTCCGTAACAAATGGGATAGAACTATCGCAAAAGAAACTTTGCAAGTGTAAATGAACAGTACCGAAATCACCCGCCGAATGCGCCTTGGAATAGGAGCCATGAAAATCAACCTGAGAAGAAAGAGAATCAGCTGATGTGTGTTTTTTATATAAATCACAAATTGTAGCCCACACCCCTACCCCACAGCCACACCAGGAGTGAGGAGATGAATGCCTAACCCAGTGAATGCTAAGGGTCTGTCCTAGATGGACTCGATTTTCAAAAAATTTATTGTTAAAATTTGTAGTGGCGGCCGAGCTGTGAATTAACGTCTGGTGACAAAACTACCGCAAACATTTGCACCTCAGAGGATGACTACACAGTCTCTACTGAGCCCAAGCGTAAGCTTCGCACAGAACGGGACTAATAGCGACTGGTGACCGGGGGGACTTGCAGACACAAGAGCGCCATTTTCAGTTCGGGGCTACGGCATTTTCATACAGAAAACGGAAAAACAGGTGCAGGGGAGTGGGAGGTTATGGAGTGATAAGTCACAGGAATCAAGGCCCAGAAGGGTGGTGCGGGGACGGGTGGGCAAGCACAGCATCTGTTACGGCTGCTGATCGCCACGCTGTACATCCGAAGCTCGCGTTAACGCTGTGCTAACCACACACAAGTATGAAGTTTTTTTGAATGTTAAAAGAACACACACACGCGTGGAATTATTCCTTCCAAACAGAACTAAGTGGCAGTTCTTCATGTTCTTACTAATGCAACTTGAATAAACATGGGATTTCCCAAATGTTTGCAACGACACCGAACATCCCATTTATTGCAGATTTCAGTGCACGTTAGTGGTTCTGCCCGTGTGATGAATTTACGGAGCAGGAAGAGGAAGAGATGGACATGAAGACTGCTTTGGGCAAGAAGTCTTGCTTCCACGTGACCTCTAAAGAGCCTCAAGTTTTCCTTTCCTCTAAAAGGGCCAGTTTTTCATCTTGGGCAGGACAGTGTCACGCCCATAGAGTCATCCACCTGCAGACATGTACTCACGGCTCCCATGGTCCTAAGGAATCCTTGCTCGATACCCAAGCTGTGCCAGCTAACGTCGGCCACCATGTGAGATGTAATGCCGAACAAGAAGGCTACCAATTTCTCCGTGTCCTGCCAAATAAGCAAATTGGAGGGATGGGCGCTTGGGTTATTTTATAAAGATCCTATTACAGTGTTTAAGAAATAGGATTTCCACCCCAAGACTTAACAATAAAATCAGAGGCGGGTACATTGTAGTTTCTAGTGACAAAAACCACAAGAAAAGTTTCGCAGTGCCTTAGAAGGGCTTTCAGGTAATTTACTCTTGGAGCGAAATGGTGACCTACTGCATTTTTCTAAGTAGTTTATTCAGGTATTAACTCTAAGCACATCCTGTGTCTGGCACTGAAGGTACAAGGGTGAGCAGCCCTCCCAGAGCCTGGGGTGGGGATGGGGAGCAGTGTAAATGCAGACAGGGGGTGGAGGTGTCTGGGACTGAATTTCTTCTTGGCGCTAGAGGGCCGTGCCTACCTTCTCCCAGGGAAGAGGGTAGTTCTCTCGGATATAGTGGATGCTTGCATTCAGAAACGGGGTCCAGTGCGTGCTCTCAGACACGTCATGGAATTGCCCTGGTGAGACAAGAGCAGGTCTCAGGAGTCTTTCTGAAAAAGCTGGAGATTGTGCCAGTGACATCTGCCACCACAGCTACCCTCCTCCTCCCTCCGAGCCTCTTGGGTTCTTCTGTTGATGTTCAGAGGAAGCCTCTAGAACAGAAGAGCCAGCTGGGAGAGAGAGAAAGCCGGACCGGCTCACAACATCGGCAATCACCTGGGCTAAAGGGAAGGAGAAAAGGGGTGTGGGGGGCGGGGGTGCCAGAGTCAGCGGTAGGGCGGTGCAGGTGGGGTGCAGGGGGGATGGGAGGGGGGCGTCACATGTCATGAGGGGCAACTGGAACCAAAACTCCGGAGTTTAGATCCCTCTGTTCAAATCGTTTTGCTGTCGCTAAAGTAAAAACATTCTAACCAGTTTTAAATCATTGGCTTTTCTGGAAATGATTTTCAAAGACACTGCAACTATGAAATTTGATTTGCCCTAAGTTTTTGTAAAAGATAGAACTTACAATTCCTATTTTACAGAATTCCATAGAAATCCAAAGTATAGCAGCAGCTCTTTGGACAAAACTCCCCTTAACCAAATTGCCAGATTAAGCAAAGCTTTTTGTTCCCCTCTCTAATCCAACTGAATGAAGAGAAAGCCCACCCAGAGCCTACGGGGTGGTGGCAGCCAGGTCACTGTCTCCACGCACCTGTCCCCACAGCTGAGCTATCGCTTACTGAGGGTCAGGGCTCCTTCTGATCCTGGGCAGCCAGCTGTCCTCATTATTGTTACAGATTTGATTCAGTTATTAGGTAAACCGATGCAATGGAATATAAAAACAACTGCTTCTTCGGCAACGGAGAACATTTGCTTCTGCAAGATGTAATAAAAGTGAGCCCTCAAATCAAAGAAGACAGGTGCTGTGCAAGTAGGTATGTATGGGATCAAGGGAAAATTTGGAAAAATTCATGAAAATCTAAAAGGAGTCTGCGTCAAATTCCTCATAGTCAGTGTAGATTTCATAATGCTAATTGAGCTCGCTGGTGCATCAGTCTGCACTGGTCCTGAGTTTTACGTCAGGGAGGATGGCATGTACTGGTGGAGGAAAAACAGGAAACTTGGAACACAGAGCCTTCAGCACTGTGAGTTTGGTTGGTCTCTTAAGATGGCATATATTAAGCAAGTTTTCTCAAATTTAATTGTCAAAAAAAAGTCCTTTTTTAACTTATATAAGATATCAAGGAACAATTATCGAGAAATTACAGCCTCCTGAATACAATCTGGGAAGCACTAAATTAGAAATAGGTCTAGAGAGAAAAAAAACTAACAAGCAGGCAAAATAAAAGGATTAAGAAAAGATAGTTAACAGCCTAAGAAGGAAAAAGAAAAAAAAAAAAAACCCACCCAACCTTACAAATATGACAAATACAAAAAACCTTACTTGGTATCCTAACTACAGGAGTGGGTAACCCTAAACATTTCATTTAGCCTAAAGGCATTGCTGTATTAAAACAAACATTGGTGGGACACCTGGGTGGGTCAGTAGGTTAAGCGTCTGCCTTCGGCTCAGGTCATGATTCCAGGGTCCCGAGATCAAGCCCCACATCGGGCTCCCTGCTCAGTGGGGAGTCTGCTTCTGCCTCTGCTCCTCTCCCCTCCCCACCCCCTGCTCGTGTTCTCTCTCTCTCTCAAATGAATAAAATCTTAAAAATACACTGGGATTTTGACCCTGAGACTCCAAATACGGTTTACGTGATGACCGACGTACTGGATGGCTTTCATCCGTCCCTCCAGACCCACCGTCCGTCCTTCTCTGCCCTGCACGGTGCCCCTGAAGGGACCTGCCCAGCTGGCCTCCTTGCCAGTCAGCTTTGGTTGGGTTGGGTTTGGCCAGTGGGGAGAATGGAGAGGAGATCAGAAAAAAGGAAGAGAGGTGGGGGAGAAATGTTCATTCTCCCAGATCCCCAACTCTGGGGTCTCGGGGGCTGGCTGTGTCCCTGACTGAAGGTCTGGCCCCCTTCAGGGAGCCTCCCCATTCAGTTCCAGTAGCTGCTCCCTCCCTGCACTGTTCCTGCAGACTTACATTCAGCCTGTAGCTCTGTAAATGGTCCCCTTATAAGACACCAGAGTGCACCTTCCATGCCCACTGGGGCCGCAATACACCCCATAAGCCCAGGTCACTGATAACACTGCCTTAGATCTGTACAACACTTGACAAAAGAATATGCATTAATGCCAAAAAATCCAGTAAAGGGGCAAGGCAGGCCTATTATCATTACATCACAGGCGTGGAAACAGACTTAGCATGGCAAGACTTTGAGGGTCACATGCTAACAGACAGCATGGCCAGAACAAGAACTCAGGCCCTTCAGTCTCTTTCAAAATCTTTTCTCTTCACCAGAAAGCAGTAAAGCAAGTAAGGACGCGTAGGATTGTGAAATCTCTCAGAATTTCTACGCTTAAGTAGGTAAGGTTTGGTTAAATGAAAATTGCAGTCATGTGAACTAAGTCATTGACCAACAACAGTGGAAAATACTCCATGTTAGATTTCTTCTGTCCTAGCTGCTCCTGTTAACCAAGTGAGGGCAACATGTGGCTCTGCAAGGCTTGGATCTTACCTCTCTCGCAGAGGCTGGGGTAGAAGGCATCAGGAAACACGGCTCCGGCCTGATACGCATCCTGGTGCTCAAGCAACAGCTGGGAAGAGGAAAGTAGAGAGATTAGGGGCAGAGGCAGCAGCCTGGGACAAGGCCGCCCTACAGCAAGAGGCAGGATGGAAGGAAGGCGTAAGTGCGTACATAAAATCTCGGGCATAACCCAAGACGATGCCCTACAACAGAGAACCTCAGGTTCTGTCCTAGCAAACACAGGCTGATCAAGTAGCAAATCACTCATTTAATTTCACCTCCTTTGGTTTCTCTGTCCACCAAAAGAGCAGGATGTCCCCCCAAGGCTAGTTCGCCGACTGGTCTGTGGTAGATTTTCAATGATCCGGTGGAAAACTCAGTGCAATGAGAGAAATACAAACATATATACATATAACATACACACATACACACGATGTATGCACATATAGTTACACCACTGACCCTTGAACACAGATATGAACCACCTGGATCCACTCAGATGCAGACTCTTCACTAGATATAGTAGAGTACTAGAAGTGTATTTTCCTTATTGCATTTTCTAATTAACATTTTCTTTAGCTGCTTTATTAGAAGAATACAGGATATAATACATATAACCTACAAAGAAGTGTAAATTGACTCATCAGTAATGCTTCTGGTACCCAGGCTGGTAGTTAAGTTTTGGGGGAGTCAAAAGTTAGATATGGAGTTTTGACTGCCTGGGGATCAGTGCCCCCTAATCCCAGTGTTGGTTCAAGGATCAACTATATATATACATATATATATAGAGAGAGAGAGAGAGGGAGAGATCTATTTATATACAAGTTTATAGTTGCTACGTGTAGAGTCAGATGACGCCTTTTGGGCTTTTGGGGGGGGGTTAAAAATCCTTTCCCTTTATTTTTTTTAAGAGAGGGAGGAGGGTCAGAGGGAGAAGCAGACTCCCTGCTGAGCAGGGAGCCCGATGTGGGACTCGATCCCGGGACTCCAGGATCATGACCTGAGCCGAAGGCAGTCGCTTAACCAACTGAGCCACCCAGGCGCCCACCCTTTTAAAATTATGGTAAACGAACGTATTTCAGGGTGCCTGGGTGGCTCAGTCAGTTAAGCGTCTGCCTTCGGCTCAGGTCATGATCCCAGAGTCCTGGGATTGAGTCCTCCCTTGCTGTGCAGGGAGCCTGATTCTCTCTCTCTCCTCACACGCCCACCCCCATCTCTCTCTCAAAATCTTTTTTAAAAAGAATATTATACTTCAATGTTCTGCTCCATTGACTGGCTTACTCCATTCCATTCTCACCCCCTTGAGGTGGGCTAGCTGTTGGCAGAGGCTAGAAACAAAGACCACATTTCCCAGACTCCACGCAGAGCCCCCTCTCGCCCTCTGCTCCTTCAGCTAGCAGGCATGTGCTGGCTTTGCCACAGAGGTAGCAGAGGACCCAGGTGGCCACAGGCAGAGGAGAGAGCACCCATTTTGCTAGTAAGGAGCATGGCTGAGGAGATGAGGTCCCAGAGCCAACAGCCAAGGTGATGGCTGCTTACCTCCCAGACCGTGTAGGTGGCCGTTGGATGCGGAGCCAGCGGCGGGGCCCGCGGCCATCTGACTCAGCACAGGAGGCCCCACAGGCCAGTTCTGTGTGTGGTCCTCGGAGACCTTCCCGGATGCTCAGCCCAGAGCCCTGCTCTTCCAGAGCTCGGAGTTTGTCAGCACCCAGTTCCCCAATTCTGGGGGGAGCTCAGCATAAGCTAGCCAGAGGGGTTTCCAGGATCTGCAGATGAACTCTGACTGCCAAAGTGAAAGTCTGGTGGGCTAAACTTTTTTTTTTTTAAGTATTTATTTAAGTAATCTCTACTCCCGCTCCAACCTGGGGCTCAAACTCACAACCCTGAGATTAAGAGTTACATGTTCTTCCAACTGAGCCAGCCACGCACCCCCTAAGCTCTAAGATTTTATTTGAGAGAGAGCGTGTGCGTGTGTGCATGTATGAGAGAGAGAGTGCGTGCATGAGCAGGTGGGAGAGGCAGAGGGAGAGGGAGGGAGAAACAGGCTCTCCGCTGAGCAGGGAACCCGATGTGGGGCTCGATTCCCAGGATCCTGAGATCGTGACCTGAGCCAAAGGCAGATGCCCAACCGACTGTGCCACCCAGGCACCCCACCCTTGAACTTTTTAATGTATCCATAAGGATTTACTAATCCCCACTGCTACAAGGGTGTTTGGCTCAAAGATGCACGTTTGATCAAAGCTAGCTCGGTTAGAACCTTCCCTGAGACTCTTTATGGAGAGCTATGTGGAAGACAACCTCTTGTTGTCCCTTGGGGATTTTCAGCCTGAGGGCTGAGTTCTGCACAGCCTGCGTCCTCCACGTGGAGGGAGACCACCACCTAGACCTCAGCGTGCAGCTCTGCTCCAAGCACTACCAGTTACGTGAGCCAATGACGTCTCCTTCTTCTCTGAAGATAGCTTGCCAGTTGGACTTTCATCACTTAAATTAACTTTATTGAATATTTACCTTTTCAGCCACGGTCTTGGTCAGTTTATGAGTAGGACTTGTTGAATCTGCATCTCTAGGTGAGGGAGATGCTGTTATTTAACATCAAAAAATTCTGAAGTGAACTTTGAAAAGTAGATGTGTCAGCGAAAGAGGAAGTGCTGGTGGGGGAGTAAGTACAGGGGGAGGATGCAAACTTCAGATATAAAAATGTATTTTTAAGCTACAGAAATAAAAAGAGTAGGATATTGGAATCAAGAGAGATCAATGAAACAGAATAAAGAGCAAGAAACAGACTCAAGCATACACAACATACAATGGGGATGAATGAAGGGTGAAGTAACCGACTGGTGGTGTTGGCACAACCCCGGGGCAGTGAGGGTTCCATTCTTGCAGGGGATCCAGCGTGGCCTATTTGACGCGGACTTGAAATTAACATTGACCAACGAGAGGTTCCTAGACCCCCTCACGTGCTTTATGCCAAAATATATACAAGGTGAATTAAAGAGTTAAAGGCAAAACAGGAAGCCACAAAATTAGCAGGACAAAATTCAAGGGGATAACTGCATCATCTCAGACGGGAAATGATTTTTCTAAGCAAAGCATACAGGCAGAGACCATAAAAGAACAGAACGGTGCACTTAACAACACAAACATTGGAGCATTCTGCACGGTAAAGAGCACCGGAAGCAAACTGAAGAGAAAAATAACCATGAGAATTATTTGACACATGACGGGGCTGATTATCTTTAAGAAGTCATTCTTCCACGTCAAGATAAATATCGTGATGGAGAAATGTGCAAAACACGTGATTCCCAGACGTAATAGAAATAGTTGAGAAACACTTGGAAGTGTATTTAACCTCATTAATTAATTAAAATGCCAATTAAGCCTATAACAAAACATTTTCCCACCTACCAAGTGAGCAAAAACTGAGAAAATTAAAAACGGGTCCTAAAAGTGAATCTGTTTCCAAATCTGAGGATACTTATCAAGAAATTTCAATGAGGGGCGCCTGGGTGGCTGGGTGGCTCAGTCGGTAAAGCGTTGGCGTTCTGCTCAGGTCACGATCTCAGGGTCCTGGGATCGAGCCCCAAATCGGGCTCCCTGCTCAGTGGGGAGTCTGCTCCCTCTCCCCCTGCTGCTCTACCTGCTTGTGCGTGCATGCTCTCTCAAATAAGTATTTTTTTAAAAAAAGAAATTTCAATGAAATACACAAGCAACCGAGGATATTAATCCTTCCTCCGTCATAGAGATCATTCCTGTTTCGTTTGTTTTTTTTCCTTTGTTTCTGGGCCAGAAGGACTCGGCTAGCAGTGCCACGGCTGAAGGGTTTGCCAAAAAAGGTCGGGAAACTGGTCACAAACAAGGAGACTGGGCACAAAGAACACATATTGAGAATGATGACCAGGCTTCTCACTGTTGGAGAAAGGAGTTGCAGATACGGACATAGAGAACACTAGAACAAATTCTCTGGTGATGGATCATTAATTGGAGATATTCTTGCGTGAGCTCCTGGTTTTAAATAAACAGGCAGATAAATAAACACAAAAGCAACTTGAGGCAGAATCTGGGACAATGTAAGCATCAAGATAAATGATAATAATGTCATATAAACCATTAAATAGAATGTATATGGATATAAGTAAATATACAAAATGGGGAAGAGGGAAAGCCTCTATTTAACAGTAGAATGCCAAGAAATGTAGAAAGAGTGATGGAATCAGATAAACAGTTTGGCAACCATCATAATTACTTCAGGCAAGAATTATCAATAGATGATACAACCAGTGGGTAAAACTGATGAGATACAGGATATTTACATTACCTCAGTATCTCTCCCCACAAAATATTTACTTGCTAATTAAAGAGTAGAAAATACTTATTAACTTTCCAGTGTAAAAATGTGAAGATGTCATCTCAACCAGGTGATAAAAATTATCATCACTAGGACTTCTGCTTCCAGGAAGATGGAATAAACGTACTTATTTAAGCACAACTAAGACCCCTGGGCATCGTACACAAAATGAGCATAAGAAGCCCCTGAAAGGTGGAGGTAAGTGTGCAGGTGGCTGGGGAGCTCATAGGTCCCGAACTGGATACCAGGAAAGCTTGCCAACCTAGAACCTCTAAAGGGGTAAACCAAACACACAAACAAAATCCACAAAAAAAGCCTGCTTTCTCTAACCGTAAGACCAGGAAATGGGCAGCCTGGCAGAGACAGAAAACTTTTAGACAATAGCCTTTCTACTCCAGCCCAAACATCACAGAAAAAAACTGCGGCCCCACCCTCACCAGGACTTTCATTTGTCCCGGATCCCTACCCCTCGGTGTCAGTGGAGACCATGGGGAGAGCCTAGACATCCAGTCCCTACTGCAGTAACACGGAGCCTCTCCCCATCCCCACTGGGTGGGATCCGAAGAGGCCCAGGGAAGAGCAAGATGTCTGCCACCACAAGGAGACACCCCCCAGCATCCGTAGAGGCCACAGTGAGGAGCAATAATTAGGCACTTCTACCTCTCCCAGCCGGAGAGGCATCCGTGGAGGCTCGGGGAATCTGGACTTCTACCCCCAGCTGGCAG